TTTTTTTTTTTTTTTTTTTAACTCCGCATAATGTTTTTGAGGTCCATTCATGTTGTTGTATGTATCAATTGTTCATTCCTTTTTATTGCTGATAATACTCCATTGTGTGGATATGTATTTTGTTTATTCACTGGTTGATAAACATTTGGATTGTTTTGCTTTTTGACTATTAGGAATAATGCCACTGAACATTCACATTAAAAGCTGTGGGTAGACACGTGGTTTTATTTTTCTTGAGTAAATAACTAGGAGTAGAAGTGCTAGGTCATATGGGTAGCTCTATGTTTAAAATTTTAAGAAAGTGCCCAACTGTTTTCTATAGTGGTTATAGTATTTTACTTTAAAAAAAAAAATGTTTATTTTGAGGGGGAGAGAGCGCAAGTGGTGAAGGGGCAGAGAGAAAGAGAGACAGAGAATCCCAAGCAGGCTCCGCAGTGTCAGCACAGAGTCCGATGCAGGGCTCGAACCCACGAACTGTGAGATCATGACCAGAACCGAAATCAAGGGGCAGATGCTCAACTGACTGAGCCACCCAAGCAGCCTCCCAAACAGTTGTTATAATCTATCTTTTTTATTATAGCCATTCTGGTGAGTATAGTGTGGTTCACTGCCATTTTGATTTGCATTTTTTTGATGTTGAGCATCTTTATGTGCTATTAGCCATTTGTGTATCTTTCTTCGTGAAATGTGTATTCAAAGTCTTTTGCCCATTTTTTAGTTGTCTTCTTACTGAGTTGTTGTAGGAGTTCTTTATATATTGTGGCTACAAGTCCGCCCCCCCCCATTGAAACCTAGTAACACTTCCTGATGTAATTCACCTGAATACAAAGTTTAGATTAAATAGGTTATATAGTGAAGATTTTTGCTATCAGAACAGTTCAGAATCTTAGCTTTATGAGCTTCAAGCCTTGCCACCCTTGTTATAAATTCTGCCAGTGAGATTCTGTTTTGAGTGAACACACAGTAGTTTCAACCTAGCATCCAAAATGGTTTTCTTCCAACATGGAAACACTATAAACAAATTAATTTGTTGCCTGCCTATTTCAACTAAAAATTATGACCTTTTTTTTTTTTTATTTAAAAGAAAAATTTTTTTTACATTATTTATTTTTGAGAGACAGAGACAGAGCACAAGTTGGGGGAGGGATAGAGATAGAAGGAGACACAGAATCTGAAGCAGGCTGCAGGCTCTGACCTGTCATCACAGAGCCCGATGTGGGGCTCGAACTCACGAACCATGAAATCATGACCTGAGCCGAAGTCAGACACTTAACCGACGGAGCCACCCAGGCGCCCTATTGACCATTTCTTCTTTAATAATTCTAAGTCTAAATTTTAAAAACAATATTGAATTGAACTTTAGGTAAGGCTATTCTATTAACCTGTTATTCTGTGTTAGTGTCTTTGTAATGAAATCAGCTAAAAAATGGTGGTTATTGGCCATTTATTGACCTTGAACTAAGGACTAATCTGTTTAGCTTAACATAAATCCTAGTTGTTAATGCTTTTACAAAACCCTGCACCTCAGTGAGCAAGAATGGTTTCTAGAAAGATATTTCAAATAATGCAAGTAAAATTTTAAAGTCACCTGTAATCCTTGTGCATTTTGTTTAAATTGTCTTGCTTTTTCAGAACGTGTTTATTTATTTTTATACTCTGAAGAATTGGTGCTTTGAAAATATTTGGTTCTTGGGATTGTGTTCTTTTTAACACCAAAGTATAAACCTGAGCAAACTGAGTGGTAGATCCTGTCTGGAGAGACAGTTTGCTGAGATTAAAAAAAGACCGGTTTAGGAACCAGGAAACCTGGCTCTGCAAAAGAGCTCAGTGATTGTGAACAAATTATTTAATCTTTATGGTTTTAGTTTCCTCATCTGTAAAATGACCCAGTTGGACTACATAATCTCTATGATCCCTTCCAACTCTGAATATTTGAACATACACTGTTTGAAAATACTCTGGCGTTTTTAAAAAATTTTAATTTAATTTACATAGGGCACCAGCAGGGGAGGGGCTGAGAGAGAGAGAGAGAGAGAGAGGAGAGAGAATCCCAAAGAGGCTCCATGGTGTCAGTGCAGAGCCCGACATGGGGCTTGATCTCCTGAAAGCAAGATCGCGACCTGAGCCGTGATCAAGAGTTGCACACTTAACTGAGTGAGCCACCCAGGTGCCCCAATACGCTGGTATTTCTTATAAAGCCTTTTCACATATACTTACTGTTTTATTCTTAAAAGATTCCCTGAAGTAGAGAAGGCAGATCTTTAGAGGATACATAAAAAAGTTAGATATCATCTTAAAATTATTATTACTTCTTTTGGATTTCCACAGCAATTTATTGTTCGTTAGTTTTACAGCCTTTTCATGAATATTCATGTAATTATTTTTTATATTGAAGTATAGTTGATATACAATGTTATATTAGCGTCAGGTATGCAACATAGTGATTTGACAGTTCTACATGTTACTTAGTGCTCACTCTGTTGGCTGTAGTCACTATCTGTTACTGTTACTAAGATATTATTGACTGTATTCTCTATGTTATACTTTGCATTTCCATGACTTTATAACTAGATATTTGTATACAAGTCCTTTATCAGATACACAACTTGCAGATATTTTCTTCTCCTGTGGCTTGTTTTTATCTTTTTGCTAATACTGCTTGAATTCCAAAAGTTTTAAATTTTCGTGGCCTAATTATCAGCATTTTTTTTTTAATGGATTGTGCTTTTGATGTCATATCCAAAGACTTTTTTTTTTAATTTTTTTTTCAACGTTTATTTATTTTTGGGGGGACAGAGAGAGACAGAGCATGAATGGGGGAGGGGCAGAGAGAGAGGGAGACACAGAATCGGAAACAGGCTCCAGGCTCTGAGCCATCAGCCCAGAGCCCGACGCAGGGCTCGAACTCACGGACTGCGAGATCGTGACCTGGCTGAAGTTGGACGCTCAACCGACTGCGCCACCCAGGCGCCCCATATCCAAAGACTTTTTGATTAACCAAGATCATGAAGATTTTCTCCTGGTGTTTTTTGGTAGAAAATTTATAGTTTGGGGTTTACTAGGTCTCTGATCCATTTGAGTTAATTTTTATGCATAGTGTAAGGTAAAGGTTTAAATTAATCTTTTTGTAAGTGGATATCCAGTTGAAAAGACTGTCTGTTCTTCCATTCAACCACCTTATCACCTTCACTGAAAATTGATTGTAAATGTATAGGTTTATTTCTGGATTTTCAGGTTTGTTCTGTTGGTCTGTGTGATATCTTTATGCCATTATCACACTGACCTGATTATTGTGGCTTTTTAATATGTTTTTTTTTAATTTGTTTTTAATCTTTATTTTTGAGAGAGTGAGAGAGAGAGACAGAGTGTGAGCAGGGGAGGAACAGAGAGAGAGGGAGACACAGAATCCGAAGCAGGCTCCAGGCTCCGAGCTGTCAGCACAGAGCTCGACGCAGGGCTCGAACCCACGAACTGTGAGATTATGACCTGAACCGAAGTCACACTTAACCAACTGAACCACCCAGGCACCCTTAATATGTTTTAAAGTCAAGAAGCATAAGTTGTTCAACCCAGTTCTTTTTCAAAATTACTCTGGTTATTTTGGTTTCTTTGCATTTCTATATAAATTTAAGAATTAGCTTGTCAGGTTCTGAAAAAGAAAAGTGTGATTTTGTTGGAGATTATGTTCAATCTATAGATTAGCTGGGGGAATTTTTTAACATTTCTTCAAGAAGAAAGATTATATTAGGAAACTTCTAAGAACTGTAATAAAAAGAGAAGACAACTGCAAGATGTTATGGTTTCCTTTAACACCGTAAGGTAGCAAAAAAAAAAAAAAATGCACAGGCTTTACCTTTGTTTTTCACTCTTATACTCTCTTCCATTTTTCTAAATCATTTCTAACACTTTCAAGAATGTTTATAAGTGTGTAAAATACTCTGCTAATGTATCTGTTCCCTTGTAAATGGAATACCTCACACATGTACAAGTGTAAATAAAAAACGAAAAAGGGGGGGCGCCTGGGTGGCGCAGTCGGTTAAGCGTCCGACTTCAGCCAGGTCACGATCTCGCGGTTCCTGAGTTCGAGCCCCGCGTCGGGCTCTGGGCTGATGGCTCAGAGCCTGGAGCCTGCTTCCGATTCTGTGTCTCTCTCTCTCTCTGCCCCTCCCCTGTTCATGCTCTGTCTCTCTCTGTCCCAAAAATAAATAAAAAACGTTGAAAAAAAAAAAAACGAAAAAGGGAACAGCTGTTTTGAAGGTGATGCTGAGAACAGGTGTCCTCTCTGAGGTGTACAGAGAGAGCTTGTGGAGTAGATTTTAGATAATTGTGAATGATTGTTAATTGTAGGACAGAAGTGAAGTAGGTGTAAATTTTAAGGTACTGTTTGAAAGAAGTATATGAATTTTTGTTGTGACACATGACAATATTTCTATACTTTGATGTTCTTATTCTTTAAAAAAATTTTTTTCAATGTTTATTTATTTTTGGGAGACAGAGAGAGTGCAAGCAGGGGAGGGGCAGACAGAGAGGGAGACATGGCTCCAGGCTCCAAGCTGTCAGCACAGAGCCCGACGCGGGGCTTGAACCCATGAAGCTCAGGATCATGACCTGGGTCGAAGTTGGACGTTTAACCAACTGATATGCCGAAGTGCCCCTTGATGTTCTCATTCTTTTCATTTCTGCCTTTGTATTAGGAAACAGTGCGTACTGAGAAACTTTATTAAGATCTTTCTATAGACTACTATTTTCTTGTCATGTGTTGTAGAAGGTCTGGTTTCTCTTCACATTGATGGCATGTAAGGAAAATAAAAGGAGAATAAACAGTATTCTTATTTTATTCCTTCTGTAGCCGTGAAGTCGGAGACCCTTGTGCATGAAGACAGATTTGTTCTATGGCCTCGGAGTTGGGTGCCGGGGACGATGGCGGCTGCACTGAGCTGGCAAAGCCCCTCTATCTTCAGTACCTGGAGAGGGCCCTCCGGTTGGACCATTTCTTGCGACAGACATCAGCCATCTTCAACAGGAATATTTCTAGGTATGCCATTACATGTTCCCAATGTTTGACCACATTTCTGATTCCCATTATCTCTTTAGTTTTAGCATTTATGTATTTTATGGTTTTTGGTATGTGTGATATTTTTTTCTTCCTTCTTTCAAATAGAACACAATTAACTTATTTAAAGGATCCATTTCTTCTGTCTACTAACCATAAATGAAAATATTCTGCTGGGTCAGCTGTGATTGTAGATTTATCATTCTTTAATTTATAGTGATGAAAGTGAAGATGGACTGGATGACAGTAATCCTTTATTGCCCCAGTCTGGGGATCCCTTAATACAAGTTAAGGAAGAACCTCCAAATTCATTGCTTGGTGAAACTTCTGGAGCAGGCAATTCTGGAATGTTAAACACATACTCACTGAATGGAGTTCTGCAGTCAGGTCAGTGTGGTATGAGGTCCCTCTTTGGACTATCCGTTCTCTTGGGGCAGTCGTCCTTTCATTTTTTGTTGTTCTTTATGTTTCTTCACACAGAATCAAAATCTGACAAAGGGAATTTATATAACTTCTCTAAGTTGAAGAAAAGCAGAAAGTGGCTAAAGGTAAGAGATAAGGCAAATATTTATGATTCAAATAACCTACTAAAATTACAAATAGAAAGGAAAGTTCTTGATTCATTCTGGCACATTGGCAGAGATTTTTCTAGAGAAGAGTCTTCTATTCTGGGTGTAGTTTTTTGAAGAGATCATGGAGAAAAATGTAGAGGCCTCAATGAAGTTCACTTTAGCAATCATTTCTGAGCATAGAGTACTGTGAAGAGCAAGGAGTAAAAAAAACATGAGATCTTTGCTCTCACTGGCTCACAGTGTCATCAGGGTTATTAATGTCCTTTTCATTAGTTACTGAGTAGTTCAACAAATGGTGATTGAATACATCGTATCTGTCTGATACTGTTGTAGACAGACAGCATTCCTGCCCTGTAGAGCTTACATTCAGATGGGGGGAGGTAGTGAGTAATGTCTGTAAACAAAGAAATAGAAATGGCTTTTTTAAAGAGGTAACATTTCAGGTGATTTCTGAATTATCAGGACTATGTGAATGTTTTACATAAGACCATTTTTTAAAATTGTTTGAGAGAGAGTGCGGGAGTGGGGAGAGAGAATCCCAAACAAGCTACACATGGTCAGTGCAGAGCCTGACCTGGGGCTCGAACTCATGAACTGTGAGATCATGACCTGCGCTGAAATCAAGAGTCAGATACTTAACCCACTGAACCACCCAGGCACCCCTCAGATAAGAGCATTTCAGTCAGAAGGAACACAATTGCAAACTTCCTGACACAGGATGCAACACAGTATGTTTGGGGGAGAATGAAGGCTAGTATGGCTGGAGCACAATGAGAGGGGATGATAGAAGATGAGGTTCAAGAACCTGATTGTGTAGGGTCTTGTATAACAAACATGTTAAGGAATTTGTATTTTAGTCTGGTAAATTTCTGTGAGTGTTCATAGGCAAGGAAATGGTATAATCTTGTTGATATTCTTACAAGATAACAGTCATTGGCCCAACTGAGTTAGCATTTCTTCTATTGAAACCAATATTTTCTCTATTGCTTAATTTTCCTGTGAATAGCTCAAAGTAATTTAAAGGTACTCTTTTATTGTTATCACTAAGTCCTTTAAAAGGTTCTAATTTGCTTCATATCAGCGTGGCTCTCGGGAATGCAGAAATCTTTGTTTAGCTTATCACATTTGTAAAAATCGAAATATAATTGATATGCCATAAAATCTACCCATTTAAAGTATATAATTTAGTAATTTTTAGTGTATTCATAAAGTTTTGTGTGGCCCTTACCACTAATTCCAGAATATTTTCATCATTCCAAAAAGAAACTGCACTTATTAGCAGTCACTTCCCATTTTCTACTTCCCCCACCCCTGGCAGCCACTAATCTGTTTTCTTTCCCTATGGATTTGCCTATTCTGGACATTTCATATAAGTGAAGTCCATATCATACACAGTCCTTTGTACTTAGCTTATTTCACTTAGCATAGTTTTCAAGGTTCACTCATGTTGTGGCACAGATCAGAACTACTTTCCTTTTCATGGCTGAATAACATTTCATTATCTGGATAATATCAAAATCAATTAATATTTTTTGGGTTGTTTCTCCTTAATTAGCCATCACAGCTTGCTTTCTATATTCCTTTATACCCAATAGATTGTTTCTTTGTTTTTAGTTTTTTTGCCTTGGTATTTGAGAGCTAAAATATCTTATGTTAAGTGTAAGTACTTAGTGATATCAAGCTTTGTTGCTGTTTACAGCATTTCCATGTGTTACTGCTCTCGAATTCATGCATACTAGGTTCAGTTGGTACCTTTTTCTTTTCCACTTAGATTGGTAAAGGATAATGTAAGGGAAACTGGAATGACTGTCTTCCAGCTATTTCTGTCCTTGTGTTGGGGAAAAATGCGTGGATTATAAACGGAATTACTTCGTAGCGAGAGATTCCATTTCCATTTCCTCCCATTTGCAGAGCATTCTGCTAAGTGATGAGTCCAGTGAGGCAGATTCTCAGAGTGAAGACAATGAAGAAGAAGAAGAAGAGGAAGAACTCAACCTCAGCAGAGAAGAACTTCATAACATGTTGCGGCTGCACAAATATAAGAAACTTCACCAGAATAAGTATAGTAAAGACAAGGAGGTAAAGGTTTCAGGAGAAATCTCAGACCTTCATGTCGGGTATTTAGCTTCTGGTTAACATTCATTGAAGATATGTCAGTATCCTTTTTTTTTTTTTAATGTTTATTTATTTTTGAGAGAGAACAAGCAGGGGAAGCATAGAGAGAAGGATCCCAAGTAGGCTCCATGCTGACCATAGAGAGCTCAATATGGGGCTCAAACTCACAAACTGAGATTGTGACCTGAGCTGACCTTTAACCAACTGAGCTACCCCAGGCGCCCCACACATCATTTTACTTTTATCTATCTATCTATCTATCTATCTATCTATCTATTTATTTATTTTTGTGTTTATTTATTTTTGAGGGAGAGGGAGGCAGACTGCAAGTGGGAGAGGGGCAGAGAGAGAGAGGGAGACACAGAATTGGAAGCAGGCTCCAGTCTCTGAGCTGTCAGCACAGAGCCCGATGCGGGGCCTGAACCCACAAAATGTGAGATCATGACCTGAGCCAAAATCGGCCACCAGGTACCCCTTACTTTTATGTTTAGATCTTGATGGTGGTGGTTGTAATAAAAGCTTTATTGAAATGTATTTCATATACTAAAAATATTTACCCTTTTAAAGTGTATAATTCAGTGGTTTTTAGTATATTGATAGAGATGTGTAACTGTTGTCACTATATAATTCCAGAATGTTTTCTCCAGAAAGAAACCCCAATCCCCTTAGCTGTTTCCTCCATTTTCTCCATTCCCCTCAGCCCCAGGCAGCTACTTGTCACTATAAATGTGCCTGTTCTAGACATTTCATGCATATGGAACGATATGTGATCCTTTGTGTCTAGCTTCTTGCTTAGCATGTTTTCAGAGTTCATTCAGTAGCATGTACCTGTACTTTATTCCTTTTTATGGCCAAATAAGATTCCATAGTATGAACGTACTGCATTTACTTATCCACGTATCAGTTAATGAATTAATTGGATTGTTTCTACTTTTTGGCTTTTATGAATGATAACTATGAAAAATGAGTTGTTTCCACTTTTGGCTGTTACAAATAATGCTGCCAAGAAGATTTGTATACACGTTTTTGGTGTGGACATATGTTTTCATTTCTCTTGGGTATATACCTAGAAGAGGAATTGCTGGGTCATATGATATGATAACTCTGTGCTTATTTACCCTTTTGAGGAACTGGCAAACTATTTCCAGAGTGGCTGCACCATTTTAAATTCTTGTGGTTCCTTTTATAATGCAGTTGCTCTTTGGAAGTGTTCCTATCTTTAAAAACTCCCTTTCTTTGCATGCTAACATTAGATTAATAATAGTTTTAAGTGGCAACTATTTGAGTGCTGTTACTTTTGATTTTTGTCAGAAGTGTGGCACTTTGTACATAATAAGCAATAGCATATTTGAGGCCCTGAAAGCATTCCAGCAATTATTTACCATCCAAAGTACGTTCAGAAAACTGAATAACATGCTCAAGGTTATAAACCTGCAGAAGTAATAAATAGTAAGATATCTGGCTTTTAGACTTCTTTCTTACTCTCTCTGTCCCTCCCCTGCTCTCTCGCTCTCTGTCTCTTAAAAAAAAAAATGAATAAACGTAGAGTTCCTTCATAAAGTACAGTGCTAGGCATTTGGTGCTTGAAATAGTTTGTCTTTTTTTTTTTTTTTTTGGTATAGTTGACATACAGTATTATATTTCAGGTGTACAACATAGTGATTCATCATGTCTATATATTATGGCCACAAGTGTAGCTACCATCTGTTACTGGATAACGGTATTACAATATCATTGACTGATTCCCTGTGTTGGACCTATTATTTCTGTGATTTACTCATTCCATAACTGGAAGCCTATACTTCCCACTCCCTTTTACCCATTTTGCCCAACCCCCATCACCCTCCCCTCTGACAACCATCAGTCTTTTCTCTTTACAAGTCTGATTCTGCTTTTTGTTTTTCAGATTGCAGTTATGAATGAAATCATGTGATATTTGTCTTTTTCAGTCTGACTTAATTCACTGAACATAATGCCCTCTAGGTCCATCTACATTGTCACAGATGGGAAGAGTTTATATATATATCCGCACATACACATACATGCACACATATACATATACATAGATACACACACATGTACATATACATATAAATATATATGCCACATTTTTATTTATTCACCTATCAGTGAACACTTAGGTTGCTTCTGTATCTTGTCTACTATAAATAATGCTGCAGTAAACATAGGAATGCATGTATCTTTTTGAATTAGTGTTTTTATTTTCTTTGGGTAAATACCCAGTAGTAGAATTATTGGATCGTATGATTCTTGTTTTTATTTTTTTTTGAGGAACCTCCATACTGTTTTCCATTGGATGACCAGTTTGCATTCCTACCAACAGTTCACAAAGATTCCTTTTTCTCCATGTTCTTGCCAATGCCTATGTCTTGTCTTTTTTAAATTTTTTTTTTATATTTTTTTTATATTTGATAGAGCACAAGTTGGGGAGGGGCAGAGAGAGAGAGACACAGAATCTGAATCAGGCTCCAGGCTCCAAGCTGTCAGCACAGAGCCTGACGCGGGGCTCGAACTCACAAACCGCAAGATCATGACCTGAGCCGAAGTTGGACGCTTAAGCGACTGAGCCACCCAGGCGCCCCCTGTCTTGTCTTTTTGATACTAGCCACTAGCCATTCTGACAGGTGTAGGGTGATAATCTCATTGTGGTTTTGATTTGCATTTCCCTGATTAGTGATGTTGATCTTTCCATATGTCTGTTGGCCATCTGTATGTCTTTCGGTAATTGTTCAAGTTCTGTGCTTATTTTTTAATCATATTGATTGGTTTGGGTTGAGTTGTACAAGTTTTTTATGTGTTTTGAATATTAACCCCTTATTGCATATATAATTTGCAAAAATCTTTTGACTCATTAGGTTGTCTTTTTGTTTTGTTGATGGTTTCCTTCACTGTGAAAACCTTTTTATTTTGAAGTAGTCCCAATAGTTTATTTCTGCTTTTGTTTTCCTTGCATTGGGAGGCACATCTAGAAAAATGTTGCTATGGCTGATGTCAAACTACTATGTTTTCCTCTAAGATTTTTATGGTTTTGGGTCTCAAATTTAGGGTTTTTAATCCGTTTTGAGTTTAATTTTGTTTGGAGTGGTAGAAAGTGGTCCAGTTTCATTCTTGTGCATGTAGCTGTCCAGTTTTCCCAGCACCATTTATTGAAGAGACTGTCTTTTCCACACTGTATATTCTTGCCTCCTTCGACATAGATTAGTTGGCCACATAAGGATGGGTTTCTTTCTTAGTTCTCTCTTCTGTATTATTGAAAGTTTTTCTTTAGGTATGCTTTACACCCAACATGGGGCTCCACCTCAGGACCCTGAGATCAAAAGTCATGTGTTCTACCAACTGAACCAGCCAGGCACCTCTTATCTCTGGGTTTTCTATTCTTTTCCATTCATCTGTATGTCTCTATTTGTGCCAGTACCATACTGTTTTGATTACTAAAGCTATCTTGAAATCTGGAATTGTAATACTTCCAACTTTGTTTTTCTTTCTCAAGATTGCTTTGGCTATTTGGGGTGGTTCCGTACAGATTTTAGTGTTTTTTTTTCTGTTTGGAACGCCTCATTGACATTTTTAATAGGGATTGCAGTACTTGGCTGCTTTTTTTTTTTTTTTTTTTTTTTTACTTTATTTATTTATTTTGAGAGAGGGCGAGAGGAAGCAGGATGGGGCAGAGAGAGAGGGAAAGAGAGAATCCCAAGCAGGCTCTGCACTATTCATTGTGGGCCTCGAGCTCATGAACTACAAGATTAGGACCCGAGCTGAAGTCAGATGTTTATCCGACTGAGCCACCTGGCTGCCCCAGATCTTTTTTTTTTTTTTTAATTTAATTTAATTTAATTATTCTTGAGAGAGAGAGAGAGGAAAGTGACAAGGAGGGGCAGAGAGAGAGAGAGGGAGAGAGAGAATCCCAAGTCGTCCACACTATCCAGCAACACCTGGACGACGGGCTGAACCACAACTGAGACGATGACCTGAGCCAAAATCAAGAGTTGGACACTTAACCAACTGAGCCACCAGGCACCCCTACTTGGTCTTTTTTTAAGTGAAGTAAAACATACATATGGGAAACTTTATAGATTTTATTAACTATGCAGTTCTTTTTTTTTTAATTTTTTTTTTTTAACGTTTATTTTTGAGACAGAGACAGAGCATGAATGGGGGAGGGTCAGAGAGAGGGAGACAAGATCTGAAGACAGGCTCAGGCTCTGGACTGTCAGCATCCAGAGGCACCGGAGCTGGCGGAACTCTCAGGACCAGTGATCATGAGCCTGAGCGTAGTCGCTACTCATAACTGACTGTACACCCAGCTCCGTAGCTTTTTTTTTTGTTTTTTTTTTTAAATATATGAAATTTATTGTCAAATTGGTTTCCATACAACACCTGGTGCTCATCGCAAAAGATGCCCTCTTCAATACCCATCACCCCACCCCCCCCCTCCCTCCCACCCCCCATTGGCCTTAACTGTGCAGTTCAGTGAATGCTCATTCAATTTTGACCATTGACAGAGGACCTTGTGATAGTTATCCATGTTACTTTTCTGTCCTAGTTTCAGTTCTTAGACTGGCTGTAATCTAGGAAAGAGATTCAGTAGTGGACTGCTTAATTTTAATTTATATTCATATTTATCCATTGGTAATAGGTAAGACAAAATGAATGTAAGCCTAGCGGGTCAATGGAAATGCAGTGTTTGAAAGAATCTGTCTCTGGAGAGGAAAAAAATTTGATTATTCATGTGTTAGAATTCTGGCAACATAGGCATTATCCATAATATTGGCAGGCTCTCTTAGTGGGAGATAAAGAGTGAAAAGACTTGAAAGAATTGGGATGGTTGGGAATTCTCTGAACCAGATAGAAGACTAAAAGCCAGAATAACAGCTATCAGAACCTTAGTAAATCTTAGGACCTGTTGGTAATAGAAATACATTTTATTTCTTGTTGATGAATCCATGAGGAGCTCTTTCTGCAGTTAATTGCATCTCTCAAATATGTGTCAGGACCAAATAAATATTCTGGTGGAAATTGAGAAGCATGAAGCGTTTTCCTCTCTTAAGTTATTTTCAGCAACTTGCCATGCACATAGCTGATGAACCCATTTTGTTTTGAAGTAAGGAAATAATTCACTTTGAAGTACTAAATCTTTGTGAGTCTTTTTGTGGGAAGAAGACCATGTTTTAGAAGCTTTGGTTTTTCTCTGGCTCAACTTTTTGTAGTAAAGGTGATTTGAAGGCAGGCTTCGAACACAGACCAGCCCTTCTAAGCCTCACTACTATCTTTGCTTTTGCTTCAGTTGCAGCAGTACCAGTACTACAGTGCAGGCCTCCTGTCCACGTATGACCCTTTCTATGAGCAACAACGGCACCTACTTGGACCCAAAAAAAAGAAATTCAAGGAGGAAAAGAAACTTAAAGGTGAGCATATTGACCTGCCTTCCACATTTACTCTTTAGTTTCAGGGTTGTGTGTAGCCTGTTGGTACATTTGGACTTTGAACATAATGCATGTAGTAGAGACTTGCTGTATCTGAAAAACCCTAGGCTTCCCTATCTAAGTCCTATTATTAACCTTATTTCGTATTTGGTTTATGATCTCTTCTAGAATTATAAAGACATAAAAAACTACAGATTCCTAGCCAAAGGTTTAAGTCAGTTAGTTTATTCCTTCTTTCTTCTACATACTTTTCCAAATGTTGAAAATGTTCTGGGAGAGGAAGAAGTTGGTTAGGCACAGGGAAGTATGAAGAGCAACCTGAAGTGTTGGGAATAAGTTATGATTGTTGTTGTGTGTGGAAATTCAAAATAGATCACCTCTCTATCTTGTGTAATGCCTATGTGCCTGTTTGCCAGGAAATGTGCTTTCCTCCCTTACTGAGCTCTAAGCAGCTGGAAATCAGAAAGGAGGTAGTAAGGGAAAGTTTTAAACTCTGTGTACAAGTCAGATTTTGTTCACCTAAAGGTATGAACTCTACTCAGAAATTCTTTTAAGCCTTCTCCCCTTTCTCCCACATCCTCCTAGTTTATCTCTTTATTTAAAAAAAAAATTTTTGTATATTTATTTTTGAGAGACAGACCACAAGCAGGGGAGGGGCAGAGAGAGAGGGAGACACAGAATTTGAAGCAGGCTCCAGAGAGCTTAGAGCCTGATGCACGGCTCGAACCCACGGACCGCGAGATCATGACCTGAACTAAAGTCAAACGCTTAGCCAACTGAGCCACTTACACGCCCCTCTTTGTATTTTCTCATCCTCTGCACCCTCCCCTCCCCACCCCACCTCCCAAATTAGTTTTTTGTGCCATGTGTGATTTTCTCTTCACAGGCCATGATGTCCTATCAGTTAGCACATTTTTTCTTTCTTTAGTTTTTTCTTCAATCACTTTACATTGCCACCAAGTAGAAATGTTTCCTTCCTTTTGGCCATTACTTGAGTTCGTGGTACTTTATAAGTCTCCCTTCCTATTGTTGGGTTCAACAGAAATTCAGTTTTTAGGTTTTATTTTGTGTTTTTCTTTCATGTAAACATAGGGAGTATCCAGTATTCTTCCAAGGTAGTGAGATCTTTCTCTTGGAATAGTCATAGGCCCGAATACATAAGGAGGTAAACATTGCCAGCCTCACTTGGAATGAGGAAGGAACCTTGAATTTTTTTAAAGTGATGAGGTTGTTTGTGGCTGTCTTCTGTGGAAGGGCAGAAATGCGACATTCTCAGAATCTGTTTCCTTTGCAGCCAAGTTGAAAAAAGTTAAGAAAAAAAGGCGAAGGGATGAAGAACTTTCCTCTGAAGAATCTCCTCGTTGCCACCACCACCAGACCAAAGTCTTTGCCAAGTTCTCTCATGATGCACCTCCTCCTGGCACCAAGAAGAAGCACTTATCCATTGAGCAGCTTAATGCTCGTCGTAGAAAAGTATGGCTCAGCATTGTGAAAAAGGAACTACCAAAGGTACGTGAGTGCCTCCAGCATAGATGGCAAGTTTTGTCTCCCTGCCCTCTAAAGAGGAGCTGTTGGAGCTAGATACCTTTACAGTGTTCAGAAAGGAAACTAATCTGATGGAATTAAGATAATGCTGAATAGTACTCTTATTAGTTGACTGTTTTTTTCCAGATTTTGATCAGAATCCACAAGACAATTAGTTGTTCTGTGGTGTTTATTGTCCAAAAAATGGAGGGAAACCTCTCTGAGAAAGGAAAGCAGTTTTCTTACTCATAGCAGTAGAGATTGAACAACAAATTGATAGGTGATAGTAGAGGAAATTAAAATGAAATGGTGGAGTTATGTTTCTTAGAGAATTTATAAATATTTGAATGTTACTGAAGAATCACAGACATTAGAAAAAATGTGAATGATTCAAGAGAAAGATGTTTAGGCATTCTTTTTGCTATTTTAATTTGGTTTTGGTAATATTTTATTTTGATAAAATTTCAAACTTGAAAGTTTCAGGAATGGTACAAGGAATGTCCATATACCCTCGACTCAGTTTGCATTTTACTTAATTAGTTGCCTTATTAATTGAGCATAGCCTTAATAGAAATATGAATAGGGTATTTTCTGAATTTAGAAAAACTGATACTAAACTCAAGGAAAAGAATCAATATGCAAGAATTGCCAGAGAACACTGAAAAAGACACATCAATCATTAAAATATACCGTAAAACCTCTATAATTCAACAGTGTAGTACTGCCACATGCATAGGCAAATAGATCAGTGGAATGGTAGACTTAAAAAATTTTTTTTCTAATTTATGTATTTTGAGAGAGAGTGAGCATGTGAGCAAGGGTGGGCAGAGAGAGAGAGAGAGAGAGAATCTCAAGCAGGCTCCACACTGTGTGTGTGTGTGTGTGTGTGTGTGTGTGTGTGTGTGTGTGTGTGTGTGAGAGAGAGAGAGAGAGAGAGAGAGAGAGAGAGAGAGAGAGAGAGAGAGAGAACCTCAAGCAGGCTCCACACTGTTAGCACCAAGCCTGACATGGGGCTCGGTCTCATGAACGATGAGATCATGACCTGAGCGCAAAATCAAGAGTCAGACGCTTAACTGACTGAGCCACCCAGGTGCCCCTAGACTAACAGACTTTTTAAAAAATGGTGCTGGAACAACTAGGTAGCCATTTGGAAAAAGATAAAAGTAGATCTGTTTCTCACACATATACTCTGAACATATTAAGGTTCTTAGTATAAAAAATGAAATCATACAAATACTAGAGGAAAAGGATTACATTCCTATTTAACCTTGGCTCAGCAAAAGTATGACTCAACATCCAGAGGCAATGAAAGAAAACATTTGTAAATTTGACTAAATACAAATAAATTTTTTCATGACAAAAGACAGCTGACAAAGTGGGAAAGATTATTTACATTGTCACAAAGGGCTCGTATCTCTAGTATATAAAGAACTTTTGAAAATTGAGAGCCAAAGAACCACAAATTCAGTAGGCAGGTAAAATGACGGGAATAGACAATTCACAAAGAAAGATACAAAAATGGCTCTTAAATATTAAAAAGGTTCAAAGTCTCATAATTAGAGTAGTCTAAAATAACAACCTAGATACCATTTTTCACTTATCACAATGGCAAAAATTGGAAAATATGATAACACATTCTCTTAAGAAGGCTATGGGGAAACAGACACTTTTATACATTGCTGCTAGAAGTGCAAATCAGAGAGCATTATTCTGGAGGGTAAATTGGCAATACCTAATAATCTCCATATGCAGTTACCTTTCAAACCAGCACTTGCACTTCTAGGAATTATCCTGAGGCTAAACCTGCAACTATACAATGTAAACAAAGTTACTCATTACAGCATTATTTTTAATTGCAAAATAAACAACTTTAATGCCTTTACATGGGGCTTGAATTGAACTCTGGTAGATATACACAGTGGATTGTTATGCTGCTGTTAAAAAGAAATAATGAGGAAGACCTTTCTGAAGTGACATGGGATAAAGACATAGTGTTAAGTGAGAAAAGCAAAACAAAAACAGGCATCTATAGTATTTACCTCTCATATAAGCAAAAGAGGAATATAAGAAAATACACAAATTCTCATTCATTCAAAAGACATTCAAGAAGGATAAGCCTGAAATTAAAGTGTTGATTTCTTATAGCGGGCAGGTGGTAAAAATGTAGAAAGAAAGGAAGGAATGGGAGCAGGTTAGCAGGGATGAGGGGCAGTCTTTGAGTACATCGTTTTGTATGTAGGGCTGACTTTGAAAATCATGGTAATGTTTCATATACTCCTCATATACACTGATAATAAAACAATTGAAACCAGTCAGGGTGTGGGAAGGGAATTAGGTTGAGGGGATATGTGGGCAAAGTGGAATAAAAACAGGAACAAATGGTGTGCTTGGGTAGCTCACTCAGTTGAGTGTCCAACTCTTGGTTTTGGCTCAGGTTCTGGTCTCATGGTTCGTGACTTTGAGCCTAGTGTCCAGGCTCTGTGCTGATACTGTGGAGCCTGCTTTGGATATTCTCTTTCCCAGTTCTCTCTGCCCCTCCCCCACACATGGTGTCTCTGAAAATAAATAAAATTAAAAAAAAGTCAAGAACAAATGTTAACTGTATCAGAAATGAGTAATATATAATCAAGTTGCAGAGATTGGGGAAGAAAAGGACTCCCTGAAGTAACTGAGGAAATCAGTATTTTGACTTGATATGTAAGGCTAGAGACCAAAAGAACTGTACGTAAATGCTATGATTGACATAGTGAGTGTTTCTTACAAAAGAATAGGTTAGAATTTTGAAACTACTTTGTATGTGTACTAGAATTGAACAAATAAGTAAATATGTTGTAGATGACAGCCAGTTTCTCGCTGTTGGAAACATTTAAAGTGAAGCCTTTGAAATATGATTGGAGTCAGAGCTCTCAGTACACACACACACACACACAGATGGATGTGTACAGAAATATAGTTGTGTGTGTGTGCATAGGTTAGTATGCATATATACTTAATTTCTAGCTAGCTCTTTGCAGAGAGTGCCTAGACGCAGTGATATCCCAGTAACAATTATCTAGTTCCCAGATCTTGATTTCTCAATACTTTTTATTCTCTAATAAAGTTAAGGAGGTACTTGAAGAAAGATGGAAGTGGGGGATTGTCAGAAGAACACAGGAGCCAATCTGAAGGGGCTCTTCATCACCAAAGTTAGAATAATTGAGCAATGAAATCGGTAATAATAATACTGAATTTTAACACATAGAATAAAAGAAATATCAGTGAGTCCATACTGTTATAAATAATTAAATAAGAAAACAGATAAGGTAGAAGGAACAACTCTTCCTTGCAGTAGAATTCCAGTTAATAGGACAGAAGGAAGTAGAGAATCATCATTAACATAAATACCATGGTAATAATTGTTGCAGACTGGATCCATTGATGAAGGCTAAAATCAGAGGACGAAAGATACAGGAGAACCAGAGCTTGCACATAATGAAAGCATCTCCCCAGCATATACATCTCAGCACAAAAAGAAAGATAGTGATAATCATGGGTAGTTACTACCATGGTAAGGTGGTAGAATCTACTTTAACCAAAAGATCTAAGTAACACTAGTAATAGAAATTTTGATATTGTGAACTTAATTTGATGCCCTGAGAAGAACACGTCGTTTCTGGGGTATTCTTGCCAAAATGTGTAATGTCATTCCAATCATGAGAAAACATCAGAAAATCACAAACTTTGGGGAAATTTTACAAAATAACTGATTAGTGCCTTTCAAAAGTGTCAAGGACATGAGAGAAAGATTGAAGAATGTTATATATGCAGGAAGAGAACTGAGGAGAAAAGCAACTAAATACATTGTGGGATCCTGTTACAGGATCCTGGAACGGGAAAAGGATTTTAGTGGAAAAATTGTTGACGTTCAGATAAGACTTGTAGTTTAATATTTTACCAGTGTTATTTTCCTTTCTTAATAGAGTCAAACCTTGGTTTGCGAGCATAATTTGTTCTGGAAACATGCTTGTAATCCATAGCACTTGTATGTCAAAGTGAATTGCCCCATAAGAAATAATGGTATATGTGCTGCTGAAGCGAGCACAGAAATAACGGAAACTCAGATGATTCGTTCCATAACCCAAAAATATTCGTATAAAATTAACTACAATGCTGTAATATAATACAAAATAATAAAGAAAATACAAAATATAAAGAAAAATAAATTAACCTGCACTTGTCTTTGAAAGCCTTTGTGGCTGGTTTCAGGGAGACAGACAAGGTTATTGTGTAGGACGACTTTCACTATCACTAATAGAATCACTGCTGTCTCTTGGCTCAATGGAATCTTTTTCTGCATTGGGGCCATCGTATATGCTTGCATAGATGTTGACTACAGTACAATAATAAACTCATATACTGTATTTAATGTAACTGGCAATTAGGCAGCATAGGGAAGGGTCTATATCTGTAGGCAGCCTGACCTGAAATGAAGCACAGCATTCCTAAGCGTACTCTTGTTTGGAAAAGCAAAGGACTGTCCATAGGTGCTTTGAAGTGACAAAGAAACTAGTGCCAGGTGTGAGCACCTTCCAGCATTCTAAAAAATTGATGATTTCTGTCAAACACTGTGGCCTGAGACTGAGCATCCGAGAATGGGAGACAATCACCCACAATCCCACAAAGAGAGAGCGAGAGAGAGAAGATCCATTGGCTCACTTATGATCATGTGATGTTCGACATCTCGCACTACTTGTATTGCAAGACATCACTCATTTATCAAGTTAAAATTATTAGAAACGTTTGCTCATTTTGTGGCACACTCGTAGAGCAAGTTACTCTCAATCCTGGGTTTTACTGTGATTGTATTCTGTGGGGCACCTGAGTAGTGGCTCATTCAGTTAAGCATCCAACTCTTGTTTGGCTTAGGTCATGATCCTGTATTTCCTGTGAGCTCCTTGCTGACAGTGGGGAGCCTGCTTGGGATTCTTTGTCTCCCCCTTTGCCCCTCCCCTGCTCATGCTCTCTTTCTCTCAAAATAAATAAATAAATAAACATTTAAAATAATTGTATTCTAGTTATGTAAGATGCTAAATGAGGAAAAGCAGCAGGAGCAATATAAGGGAACTCTGTATTATTTTTTGCTACTTTTCTGTAACTCTAAAATTGTTTCAAAACAAAATGTTTTAAAATGATATGGCAAGAGTAATGCAAGGAACTGCCATGTATCCTTTACTCATATTTAGCAATGTTTGCTTTGTTTGCTTTTGTTACATAAATGCATACTTTTTTCTCACCCATTTTGAGGGTTAGTTTGACACTTTGTACTGAACTTCCTTGTAATTCAATGTGTGTTTCCTAAGAAAAAAGACATTCTGTCATACAGAACCACAGTACAGTTATAAAGATTATTATCTGATCCACAGACCATATTTAGATTTCATCAGTTGTCTATAAAAGTTGGGGCTTTTTTTTTTCCTGATTGAATCCAGGATCCAATCTAGAAGTACATGTTTCATTTAGTTGTCACATCTCTTTAATCTCCTTTAAATCTGACATAGTTTCTCAGCCTTCATTTTTCATAACATTTTTATTTTTGAAGAGTATAGGGCTATTATTTTGTACAGTGTTTCTGAATTTGAGTTATCATTCTTCATGATTAGATTTGGGTTATTCATTTTGGGCAGGATTACCAAAGGAGTGATATATCCTTCTTGGTATGTCACATTGGGAGGCACATGACCCATTGTTCCAATTTGATGGTATTAGCTTCGATCCCTTGGTATGTTTGTGCTTCTTAACAATTACCATCCCCCCCCGCCCCCCGTGCCAATTAATATGTATTTTTGGAGAGAAGAACATTCTTGATGAGAGAAGTTATAGGGAAATCCTCTTTGTACCTGGTGAATAGACTTCAAAATGATGCCCATCTAGGGTGCCTGGTTGGCTCAGTGGGTACAGCATGCAACTCTTAATCTCAGGGTCTTGAGTTCAAGCCCTACATTGGGTGTAGAGATTACTTAAAAAAATAAAAATAATTTTTAATTTTTTTAAATGTTTATTTAGTTTTGAAAGAAAGAGAGCACGAGGGGGAGAGGGACAGAGAGAGGGAGACACAGAATCAGAAGCAGGCTCCAGGCTCCGAGCTGTCAGCACAGAGCCCTACGTGGGGCTCAAACTTACGAACTGTGAGATCATGACCTGAGCTGAAGTCGGATGCTCAACCGACTGAGCCACCCAGGCGCCCCAAATAAAAATAATTTTTAAAACATGATGCCCTTCTTATGATCAAGAATTCCATAGGAATATTTGAGATTCTTGTCTTTTTTTTTTTTAATTTTTTAACGTTTTAATTCATTTTTTGAGAGACAGAGAGAAACATTGTGAGCAGAGGAGGAGAGAGAGAAACAGAGACACAGAATCTGAAGCAGGCTCCAGGCTGTCAGCACAGAGCCTGATGCAGGGCTTGAACTCACGGACCATGAGATCATGACCTGAGCCAAAGTTGGCTGCTTAACCGACTGAGCCACCCATGCGCCCCAAGATTCTTGTCTTTTAAGTAGCAATAGCTCCTTAAGCATTAGTAGGAGAAAGTTTTGATAAAGGGTGTAAAAATTCCTGTAAGCAGATCATCTGAGGTGCAAATTTTATAGAAATGGCTTTTAAGCTGTCTAACTTCGTACCCACTGTTTCTTCAGATGTAGTCACTCATGTATGCCTGTGCTATGTCTTCTCCCATGTCAACTGGATCATCATGGGAAATCAGGTTTTTTATTGAGGTTCTTTTGTTTTAACTGAATTGGAAGACAGAATCAGCTCATGACTGGTTTGTTGGGTGCTGAGTCATCTTGTGTTAGGTCTGCCTTAGAATTTTTTGTTAGAGAAGATGAAGCTTAGTGAAGCTTAAGTGTTGGCAGAAATTAATAGTGGCAGCAGATTGGTTCTGGTTGGAGGATAGAAACACAAACTGGAAGGCTAGTTTACCGTTGTAACAATTCCTGTATGTCATTGCCTGCTATCTCAGCTTCTTTGCAGATGGGCTTTGCAAAGCGGTGTGTATTAGTGTGGTGCTAGGGTTTAGGGCATGTTGTTACATTTTCCACTTCAGGCCTGAAATATAACTTAAATTCTTTCTAAAGTATACAGAAGACTCTGTTTAAGGCAGCCACAGCACTAGCTTATTCTTCCTAATGCTGCTTTAGTAGCTTTGTGTGTGGTTCTCAGTTGGTGCATTTGGATGACTTTATTTTTTAACCCTTCAGGAGTTGAATAAAAGACAGTGTCAGTCTACACAATCTTATTTCAAAAGGACTCCTAAATGATATAATTGTTTTTAAATATTTTAGGCCAACAAGCAGAAAGCTTCAGCTCGTAACCTGTTTCTCACCAATAGCCGAAAGGTAAATTGTAGTTTTATATTTCCCGTTTTTTGTTATGTTGGAATATGTCTACGTTTGCTGCTCTTGTCTCTTGTGACCTGGTAGAATACCTTAGGTACTGTAGTAGTACCTAAGAGAACTTCTGAATGTTCTCTATTTTATAAATAAAATTGCTCTTCCTCACATTTCTGGTATTTGAACCTTTTTGAATGAGACCATAGCCTGCTCTTAATTCCTTCGGCAGTTCACGTGCTCAGTCTCTTTATCTAAGAAATGATGGTTAGTAATATTAATACCTTCCTTTAGAGGGAAGTAACACAACTTCCTTTGAGTTCTGTGAGATCAGATGAGGTAATGTTATTGGTTCTGTTTTCCTGGGCTAATCTAATCACCCATCCTCAGTTTCCTCATCTGTAAAATGAGGATGTCTGTACTACCAATTTTGTAGAGTTTATGTGAAGAAATAAATTAGTTTAATGATGTTAGGCTTAGAGTGGTGCCTAGCATATAATAAGCATTAATTGCTACTATTATTAACATGTATGATAATACTTTGTAGCTTCCCAGCACTTCTCAGGTCATTATACTTTTTTTTTTTTTTTCTTTCCATCTAAGGTGCCAGTATGTGTATAAATTTTTCATTCCATGTATTACCTCAGGGTCTGTGTCTGGATCTTAGTACTGTGCAGGTACATTAACCACATTGTGGCAAAAGGAGATGTGGTCGTAGAAAGACTGTGTGCACTGAACTGACTGAGGAATGCTGTGGTTTAGAGCTAAGGGAAGACTGGCCGTGGTGTTGGGTCCTTCTCCTTTGTGAGAATGCTGTTGTCATCTGCAGCTCGCCCACCAGTGCATGAAGGAGGTGCGTCGAGCTGCCTTGCAGGCCCAAAAGAACTGTAAGGAGACCTTGCCTCGTGCCCGCCGCCTCACCAAGGAGATGCTTCTGTACTGGAAGAAATACGAGAAGGTGGAGAAGGAACACCGAAAGCGTGCAGAGAAGGAAGCCTTGGAGCAGCGCAAGTTGGATGAGGAAATGCGGGAGGTAGGGAAGTAGTATAAAATTTTGAAAACCCTGATTGCTCAGCCATATCAAGAGATTGGTGTATACTACATAAATTGTAAGGTAATGAAATCATTGGAAAAAAACATTTTAAGACATAATTTTGAGGATAGTAATTTTAGTCCACTAAAGCGATTCTGTTTTTGTCCCTCAGTAAGGCCCTCTCTCCGGCCTTCACCTCTCTTTGTATGCCAAGTTTTTCTGTTCTTTCTTAGCCTTATTCCTCTTTATATTTCTGGTGGACCAAAAAAAAAGAAAAGAAAAGAAAAAGGATAGGGATGAACAAAAGAAAACAGCTTACAGCTTATCTTGGCTTGGTTCCAGGTGCTGGCTGCAGTTTCTTCCTTGTTGGAAGAGCAGGGCTGGTTGCCAAATTTAGGGCCAGATAAGAACAATAGACAAACTAGTCCAGTTTGGGGACCCATCCCCCCACTCCTACATGCTTCACTGTTTTAACTTTCAGCCAGTATTCCTCTAAGCCTGATGTTAGTTAATATGTAGGTGAGTAGATTGTTCAGGGAAGCAAGAGGAGAAAGTAGGAGGACAAAGTCATTGTGTTGTCATTGGCAAACCAGTTTGGTTGTGTGCAGGGAAAATTGAGGTCTGAAGAAAGAAGGCAATCAAGGGATGGGAGGATCTTTTCTTTCAGGTATAGGCAGTAAGTACTCGTGTCAAAGCGGAGCTGTGGCCTCTTCTGAGCTCTTGATCTTTTATCTTTTATCTTGTCTTTGAGGGTGAATATGGATTTTGCCAAGTTTCTTAAGTCTCGTGGGTAATTTTTATCTTTGTATGCAAGATAAACATATTAGTGTGTTAGTAAACATTTGATGCTATAGGGAATACTTCCATGTGAATTTATAGGCATTTGAGAGTCATAGGTCTTGAAGTTTTGCAAGCGACCAGACGTATGTATGATCTGAGTTTGTGAAACATTCTCAGTTTGGTTGATAATTAACTGATGGGTTTCATTCATGTTTATGTTTTATGTCCTTCTCCGAACCTTTGAAATAAAACTATTTGTGATGGAACTTTATTGTTCCTTTAATTTACTTTGCTCATTTAAACATGTAGTAGTTGACTGTTGTAAAGGAGGTGTTACTCTTTTTTGTTTTAATTTAGAAAGGTTTTCTCGATAGTACTTTAGCTGTAATAAACCTGTATTTATTATGAAAAATAACTCCCATTTTCTCTCAAATTCTCTTTCAGATTTTCTTCTCATTTAAATCTGGCTCAAGTACTATAAAACCTTAAAGAGAAAGTATAGTTTTATATAGCATAACTTAGGACTAGTCTCCTTTCTGGCTAAGTTCCTTGTTATATTTTTGTTTTTCATTTGGGGAGGTGGACCAAGGGTAAATCAACTCTACTTCATATGAATTTTATTATAAAATAGTTAATGCAGAGTAGTGACATGTGCATTTGATCTGTATTCATATTTTATAGGTCATCACAGATGAACTATACATTGTTTTTGGGAGTATTTTCTTCCTTTGTCATCTTATTCTTATATATCTTCTGGTTGACTTTCAGAATAATTTATAGCCCCTAGTCACTTATTTTCACTTTCGGTGATAAAGAAGATCTTTTGACATGTTTACATTTTTTACAATACTAAAACTGTATACAGGTATCTACCACCTAGGTTATGGAATAAAGCTCATTGGTTGAGTTTAGTTGGTATCTCTGCGCCACTCTAGGAAATTGATACAGTAAAGAAATAAGCATTTTAGAAACAGAAGCTTAATGGAGAAAACATTTCATGTTGTAAATGAGAGCAAAACATATGTTATTAAATATAAGTGAAGACTATTCCTTGCTTTTAGTACCGCTGACTTGGTTATAATAAAACTGTGCGTTAACAATTCTTTTCTAAAGGTAAAGAATCTATAAAAGAATTGTATGCAAACTATATAAGATTTTATGAATTCTGTTGATCACCTCTTGTTGTATGTGATTGATGATTTGACTCTGTTTTCACTTTTAACTTTTTTCCCCTTTAGGCCAAGAGGCAACAACGAAAACTGAACTTCCTAATCACCCAGACAGAGTTGTATGCCCATTTCATGAGTCGTAAACGAGACATGGGTCATGATGGAATCCAGGAAGAAATCTTAAGGAAACTGGAAGACAGTTCTACCCAAAGACAGATTGACATTGGTGGAGGAGTGGTAGTTAACATCACACAGGAGGATTATGGTGAGTCCTGCATCAGGAGGTAGAGGAAGTGGGTACCCTCTATTTTTTCATACCTAAGGTTTCTTGCAAGTTTTGTCTTGATCAGTAAGCAATGATTAGTAAAGGGGAATTTATTGCACTGGAGTAGGGAAAGTATGAATAAAATCAACATACAAAATAACTTTTTTTAATTAAAGAATTTGAAAAGGAAAGGGTGTGTTTATATGATCTTATAAGTTTGGGAATTTTTATATGTTTTGATTTGTTAGTAGGAATGGAGGCTATTGAATCAGAAGAATTCAGTGAACATGTCTCAGCAGAGAAAATCATGTCTCTCTTAACAAGATTCTTGGTGATATAAGTCAAGCATGAGAAAGAGACTGTTCAGTTTTGGTATTTTTGTGTCCACAGGGGGAGGGATGAACTGGGGTGAAGTTTGAGGGTAATTTCACAGAGAATAGTGATAAAGATCATGTTGAGCTCAGAATAAAAAGAATGAGCGTTCCTGCGTGGGTCTTAGGGGTTACACATGTCTTGATTTCTTCTTTGGGGATAATTTCACCCAGCAGAAATCTATCACAGTTTTTAATCCCTATTGTTATGCTTTTCTTTGCTTTGGCATTGCTTTGTGCAAAAAACCCAGGATTGGGAGCCTGGAGTTCAGGTGGTTTCTGTGAGCTGGCTTTAGCTACTGGAGACATGGCACCCCTCTGCCTTCATTGCCACTTCTAAGTCCTAACCTTTGTCATATAATTTGAGCCTTTCTGTTCTCTCACCCTCTGTGAATTTAGGGATGAGTAGGTTGGGGGAGTTAGGGATTGACAGTGTCATTGTGAATTGCATCTTTGAAGGAGATCAATTAATGACTTGCGATAATCTGTAAGTTTTCCTTTTCAGATAGTAACCATTTCAAAGCCCAGGCCCTGAAGAATGCTGAAAATGCTTACCATATTCATCAAGCTCGGGTGAGTCTTACAAGTGAAAAGAACCTATGATGCGCTCTGGAAATACCCCACAACCTTTCATTTGGGTGATTTTCCTTTCGGTTTATTCCTATTTCCAGTGAGAAACACTGGCAGATGTGTGTATATGTATGTGACTATGTGTTGGGTGCGGGCTATGTCTCCATTTAGAACAATAGGAATAATTGAGGAAGGGTGGAAAATAAGCATTCACTCGTGTGAGCTTTAGGAGTGTGTTGATTGAAGCGAGGATAGTATACCTATTTTTTTGTCCTCTTGAGTAATCATGGGTAATAGAGTGTGAAATGCATCATGGTTGTTTAGTGAAGAAGACCATACTGGTGCTTGTTAAGAGAGCTATACCATTGCCTTAAGAAAACTGCTAAGTTAGGACCTTCTTTCAAACCTTAGTAATATCTTGCTTATTCATGATGTAGTGATATTTCATGAAATCAGAAGGATATGGCAGTTAGATTGAATTAAAATAAGTAAGAAAGTAAAGAATATACTGCATAGGAACCCTATTTAACAGGGTCTAGGTCAGGATAGATACAAAGTTGACCTTCTTCCCACCAACCCCAACCAAAGAAATTTTATGTCAGATTTTTAACAAATTCCTTGATGAAGTGAGTAATCATGTAGTATGGCTTAGGTCTGTTCATTATAGGAGAACTTCTAATATAATTGTTAAAATAGTAATGTTTCATATATCATTCTAGATACATAATATATTACATAATATTATTAGAAATTTTGTTCCAGTTACCACACAATGGATATATTGTCATTATGAATTTGATTTGAATTCCATTTGTCCCTCTTATGTTTTTCTTCTAATATGGTTTTATTTTCCAGACAAGGTCATTTGATGAAGATGCAAAAGAAAGTCGAGCAGCTGCCCTCCGGGCAGCAAACAAGTCTGGTACTGGGTTTGGGGAGAGTTACAGCCTGGCAAACCCATCTATCCGAGCTGGTGAAGATATTCCACAACCTACCATTTTTAATGGCAAATTAAAAGGCTACCAGCTGAAAGGCATGAATTGGTTGGCAAATCTGTATGAGCAGGTGAAGTTTAGAACTGTGTCATACCCACTCTGTTTTGTTACGCATTTTTCTGATATCATTGGTTCAGAGTATTGCGAAATGAACACAAGATAATGTTTTAAATTTCATCCCTTTTAAAAAGTTTCATTGACTCTGACAAGAGTCAGAAAGATGTTTCTATATTTTTAACCTGCAATTTTGTTTGAGAATATTTGTATCGTGTACATAGTTTGCCTTAAGTGGTCTTGGTAACCTGATTGATTGTGTTTTTTTGCCTGGATTATATTTGCTGGAAAACTGGCTTTGGCCTGTTAATTCAACTCATGATATCACCTCAGGTATCATAATTCATAGTTGTAGCTGTAGAGTTGACAAAAGGAATCATTACAAGCAGTGGGTGATAGTGCTGAAATGATATTTCTAGTCATTTTTGTTTAAACAAGTCTAATAGTTTGGTTAGTTTTTTGGGACAGTATGTTGAACCCCTGTGTGATGGAATGTAAGAGGTACTGACTATGTGTATTTTTTTTTTCCAGGGCATTAATGGCATTCTTGCAGATGAAATGGGTCTTGGCAAAACAGTACAGAGTATTGCCCTCCTGGCCCATCTGGCTGAGGTGGGTAGATGCAGTCTTTGTCTTCCCCACTCTAGATTCTGGGGTGAGAATCAGCCATTATCAAGCATTATGTCATGCTCTGTAGCATACCAGGACTATAGGACTTACTCCTTGCCTTCAAGGTCATTACAAGGTGACATAGTGTGGTGAAACATTTAGGTTTTCAGCACTGGAACAGTTTTTGAGAGCGTGTGGTTGGAAATAATGCCCCTCACCCCCTGTCCACAATCATTAGAATAATGGCAAAGGAATGGTAGTTAGACCAGAAGACCCAAGTTCACATCTTAATTCTGTTTACTGAGAATGTAAACTTGAGCATTCACCTCATCTTTTTTGCTTTGACTTCACTTTAATTTTCTGAGGTTTAGTTTCTACTTCTGCAACTTGGGGATAATACCTACTTAGAGGAATTCTATGAGAATTAAGTGAAAATAAGTGTAGAAACATTTTGAGAAAAGCAAAAACTCCAATACTAGTAAAATTGTTATCTAGTATAGGGGAAAGCAGCACATACAAGTCAGGATGTAGTAAGTGCTTTGTCAGTGATATAAATTAGGACCTTTAAGTGGTGGGAGTTGGGAGTAATTGCTTGGTATTTTTTCCCAAGTGTTTTTCTGAGCAGATTCCTTCCATGTGTTGTTATTAACATAGGCTATTACTACTGAATATGCAAATGTGGGATCTAGACACCATTTCTCTTGTTATAAAGTATTATGGATTCTTAAACTGCTCTTGTTAATTATAATTTTGAACTAAATATCTTCAGTTTTTCTGCAGTTAGCTGACCCATTTTTTCTCTTTCAGAGAGAGAACATCTGGGGACCTTTCTTAATAATTTCACCTGCTTCTACACTTAACAATTGGCACCAGGAGTTTACAAGATTTGTTCCTAAATTTAAGGTAAAAATCAATCCAGCAAAAATTTCTTTTGCTCTTTAAACTTTGTGACTTTTCTTTTTCTGCCTTACTTGTTTAAATTGTTTATAAGAATTTTTAGTTTCTTGCATTTTTTTCCAAAATGCTTTGGAATGCATACATTGCATTGTTCCATTTGAAAGTAACTGATGGGAGCAATAAAGAGAGCATATTACATCCTTTTGTTTCATAAGTGAGAAAGCCAAAGTCCACTTTGAATGATTTGTTGGTTTAGGCACATGGATTGATGCTGCTGGTCAAACTGCCATAGTAGAAAATATCTACCTTGCTGGTTTAACGTAGATTTTGGCAAATCATATCATCAGGGCACATACCCTATAATTTATGACATTGTCATACCCCCTCCCAATATATGCATAAAGAATGCATTTTCTCATTACTCCAAAGTCAGATCTTTAGCCTGAGTTTAGATAGTAAGAAAAATAGTAAGATCGAGGTCAGAAGTGATCAATAGGGAAGTATGTTGTATTAAGTTGGTTAAGATGTGAACAAGATTTATTAAACAGGTTTTAATTGTGGAAAGTTATTGGGATGTAAGAAAGAATGGGTAGAGGTGCCGAGTGGCTCAGTCATGTTCTCAAGGTTTGTGGGTTTGAACCCTGCATCGGGCTGTGTTCTGACGGCTCAGAGCCTGGAGCCTACTTTGGATTCTGTGTCTCCCTCTTTCTCTCTCAGCCCCTCCCCTGCTTGTGCTCGCTTTCTCTCTCTCTCCCTCAAAAATAAACATTTAAAGAAAAAGAAAGAACAGGTAGGGTTTATTATAGTGTTTGCAAGTAAAAATGGGGAAATTAGGTAACTGTGTGTTCTGTCCCTAAAGTGACATAATGATAATGAAGTTTCATGGTAAAGAGGATTTTATGGAGATTGTATATCAGGAATTATTGAGGGGCACCTGTGTGGCTCAGTCAGTTAACCAGCGGATTCTTGATTTCAGCTCAGGTCATGATCTTGAGGTTCGTGAGATTGAGCCCCACATTGGGCTCCACACTGACAGCGCATGGAGCCTACTTCTGATTCTCTCTCTCCCCCTCTCTGTCCCTCCCCTGCTTGCACTTGCTCTCTCTCAGAATAAGTAAATAAACTTAAAATTTTCTTTAAAAAAAATTATTGATATGATCTGTCTGATTTGGGGTATCCATAATTATGGGTTCCATTCAATTTAAAGGACACAGGATAGGGTGGATGTGGGAATCTGATGTTTTTCTGGTTTAAGCATTGTAAGGAATAAGGAGACATGCAGGGTATTCCACTTAGGGATACCTTTGTGGCTATGGCTGCACCTTTTTGCCTCAATTGTAGTTAGAAACTATTTACAAGGCACATTAAGTGTATAGCTTTTAACATGGTAGACTCATTTTTATTTTTAATTTTATTATATTTTTAAACATTTATTTATTTTTGATAGAAACAGAGCATGAGCGGGGGAGGGGCAGAGAGAGAGGGAGAC